ATATTATTCAGTGGAATATGAGACCTTCCCTCTGCGTCAGAGGGTCTGGAAGTGTCAACGCTACTCCGACAGCGGAGAATTGTGAAGTCCTGAAGCGGAGGAAATAGCGGTAATCTTTTTTTTTTCCTCCTTTCTTGAAAAAGTATCGCGAAAGGGTCGAATTAATTATATCCCCACAGTGCTGAAATACAGGTCGACGTATTAATTTGTCTTCCGTGCGGCATTATCGGAATTTTAAACAGCCCCGTGGAAAATTATCGCTCGAGGGTGCAGGGGGCGGAGAGGTGGTGGGTCGAAAATTTCTTCGCGAAGAATCCATTCCTCCTAAATACTTCCATCCTCTCGAAGGGTAGCAGAAGAATAATTCTTCTCGAAAGGTCCGGCCACGAGGACAGGGAACTCGTCGGTTTCTGAATGTCAAGAGGGTGGTTTTCGTTTATTCTTCGGTGGCTGTAGTGGGGTCCCTTTGAAGGAACGAATAATCGCGCACGCCCCGCAAAAGCGGTCGTAAATTGAGTTCCTTTGCATCGAGGCTTTGCTTGGTTGCTGAAGTAGAGAGGGTGGGGGGTGGTTGAGAGTTATTTATTTCGCTAGATGTCACCCCTTCAACGGAGGGACGATTCATAATTGTTCCCTCGGCTCAAGCCCGCCTCGATTTATTATTCGACCGCTCGAATGATAAAACGAATCCTCCTGGAATATTTCACCGTACATTTCCCGCAATTATTTTCGCCAGAGCGAACGCAAGCCACTAGTTTTCAATTCCATTTACAATACATCCAATCTGAATGTAATGTACACTTTAGGGACCTAACACCCTACTAGTAGAATACTTACCTTATCAAGGCGAACGGCTCCCCCTTTCCGACGTCTCATTAAGCAAAGGAAAAATGGCGGCCATTTCCTACAACGTAAATCCAATCTGTTCTTGACAAGTTTGCCTCCATTATCGTCTTGTTTTCCATGTCGATGGAAAGTAAGATCAAGCTTCGGTGGGGATAAACCGGGAATAATGTCGGGTTGGAAAAAGCAGCGAAGGAAAATGGAGCGATCAGCCTATTAAAAAGGCGATAGAGATCCGATTACCATGGTACGGTGCTGGGTTAACGACATAGTGTTCTTCGATTTACTGTATATGACTTCCGATCCGGCATTAATTTTAACGGTAATGGAATATTGACCTGTTGAATAAATTATGAAAGATCCTTTAGATAGTGGTACGGGAATGCGAATTAAGTTAATAATGATATGGTGGCTTGTATGCGTGTCGTTTCTGAAATTTTAGCTCCGGATGGAATATTTGAAGTAGAGGGCGAACGCTTGTGTACGAGAGGTATACTTGGCAACCGGGGGTGAAATTAATAAAAGAGCTGTGTTTTCCATGTTTTCTCAACGGTACGTTATCCTTGGGAAGAAATGGTGTTTCAGAGGGAAAGAAAGTAGGTCAGGCTGCTCCTCCCATGTTTGATAAGCTTAGAGTCGTTGCTCTGGGGATAGAAAACGACCAATATGTCCCACGTTTCTTACGATCCGTCCATGTTATTTATTAAGGATATCTGGAATCTTCGGAATTAATCGACGGTCCAAATACAAACCAGATTTATACCGTAAAAACGATGTTAAAGATTTTCAGGAAAATTCAGAGATTTAGTGGGACTTTGCTCTTCTATAGTGACAATGAGAAAAGGTTGATGGAAAATGAGCGTTAAGAGTAGAGTCAATATTGGGAGCAGGGAACTTGGCCGACGAGACGGGGATGACATTTCAACGGACCATTAAAGTTCCCACAGGTGTGATTAAAGCGTTAAGTCCACCAACTTCGCGAGCTTAATTTCCGCCGCCACCGATCCCCCCATTGCATTCTTACCCCATTTTATTTTCTACCGTTAGAACACTTGGCGAAAGTATTGGCAAATCGAGATGACGGGCGTTAGAGGGTGGTACTGTAAAATAATGGGAATAGAAGTGTCGATAAATAAGTGAAACAGATTGCTTTGGATCTGATTTATACTTTTGTTGGTATCTTCATTGGATCTTACTTGGAGCTGCCTCGAAACCTAACTTGGAGCTCCCTCAGAACCTAACTTGGAACCTCTTTGAGGACCAACTTGGATCCCCTTTGAAGCCTAACATGGGCCTCGTCCTGGCCTAGCTAGAATTCCATTGGGCCTAACTTGGATCTCCTTCGGATCCAGCTTGGATTCCCATAAGATTCAATTTGGTTCTATCAGGCCTGACTTGGATCTCCATAGGAAGGGTCTCTGGATCAACCCTGGAACTTCCTTCATCCTAAGACCTAATACTAGCATCCATTGGATCCGACATTGACCTAACGCAATACTGACAAAGATTGAAAACTTTTATGTCGCTCCATGGCAACATGAATCCTAGGAGCGGTCATTAAACTATCTCGTAGAATCTAATAAATATATCCACGCGGAGTGGTAGAAAGCTGTTGCGATCACAGTGCCGCAGGGCTCGTAAAGTGGACGTGCTCGTGAAAAGCGAAATACGTCTTGTTCCAGTTGCATTCGACCGTTGCAATATGTATGCGTCGCAGGTCGCGTGAATGGTTTATTCCGAGCTTTCTCACGAGAGAGACCCGTCTCCCTCTGTCCCAACCCCTCCCACCCCCCAGTGGATTGCTACTTACCTCGGCGTTATTTCTTTTCGTCGAGCTGGACAGGAATTCTAACCGAGAGGGTAATATTAACGATGTAAAGATTTATGTGGCGTAGTCCCGATGCTTTTTCATTTGTACGTCCCTCTGTTCTGTCCTCTCTATTATTTCGTCGATGGAAAATTCATGGTCTCCCGCTGTGTTTCCGACGACAAGACGAAAGTCCCGAAGTGATTATCCTTGATAATAAAAGAAAGTCGATGACAGAGTGTCTCTGGAATGTTTTTCCGTACGGAGTACCGAGCGATTGCCATCATTCTCGAAAGCCACATAGGTAAAACTTCGAAGGGAGACAGTCCCCACGGCCGAGAACTGTCTCATTAATGCGAGTTGCTGCTACTTATCGAGCCACAAGTGTTTGAGTTTCACCCACAGCACGGAACGACTTTACGAGCGGCTACGGTAATGCCGTGTCCCTGTTCGTGGTCTTCCACGACCCCTTCTGCTTTCCGTAAGCCTTCCTTTATCTCCCCATTCGATCGACCAGCCACCCTTAAACCTCCCCCACGAACGAAATCGACGTCCCCTTTGACCCGACCCATCGAAATTTTCCTTTATCGTTTCGATCCACCCCCGAAGTCAGTCGAATGATGAAAGCTTCGTTATCGTGGCGTTTCGTAATAACAGAAGGACTTTCTGGTTCACTGTCAATACCAGCACCCAAAACCACCCTCCTTCGAACAACCCCGAAACTTCGTGTTTCGGATAAAGAAGTTACGTTTGCTCGGCTCGAATACGAGAGAAACCCTCCCCCTTCGGGACGACCCTTCTCGAGCTGCCACGTGGAAAAATAGAGGGGTGATCGAAACGCCAGGGGGTGGCTGGCCAGCCCGAACTGTTCCGACGTCTGGAGGCACGATCTCCAGTGAAGATCGCTAGCCCAACAAGTTGCCAGACCCTAGAATCGATATAGTACAAGCACGAAGTCGTGTATAGGTGTGCGAGACTCGTCTAACCTGGCGACTTCTCCTTTTTTCTAACCCTTTTGCACCCCCTGGACTTCACGCGCCACCAAGCCCAGCTTCTCGATCTACCCAACCCCTTTAGTCACTCCGTGTTTCCTCGCACTCTCTCGTCTTTTTCTCCACTTTCGGTCCACACCCCCACACACCGTCTCTACTCAGCCTCGACCCTTCACTTTGTTCCACCCTCGTCGCTCTTCTTCAATCCTTCCTCGGTAATGCCTTTCCCCCCCCCCCCTCCCCCTACTTACTCCTATTCCACCCTCTTCTTCGTCGCCCAGCTTCTGTCTTCTCCCATTTCCGTCCTTTCTCCTCTGTTGCTCGGCCTCGTCGAGACACGTCAGACCAAGAGACCACCTAGAGAGCCTCGAGGAATCTCGAATATCCTCCGGGAACTCCCCCCCCCCCCCCCCCCCCCCCCCCCCCCCGACGACTTGCTTTCGGTGGATCCGGAGGTAGACGAGAGAGTGACACAAGAACCCTTGCTAGCCGGTTTGTCTAACCCAAGAAGGAAATTTATAATCCTGTTTCTGCTGGCTGATTAGAAAACGACGGGTGTTCGATGCAGAACTATTGCCCTGGACGGGAAAACCGTCGACTTGTATCACTGAAATCTTTCTGCTACCGTGCCCGGACAATCCTGCTGCTGTGGAATTCGTTGACCCATACTACTGAATTCATTGACCTATACTACTAAATTCCTTGATTTATACACCGAGTTCAATGACTTGTAACGCTAATACGTTGCCTCGTACGACTGAATTTTCTTTCTGCAGAGATAGAGGTCACATTTAGGTACGAATAGCAAAGAAGTACGTATTTATTACCCGTTCAGTGACGAAGATATTCTCGGTGCCGTCGATTCGAACGCGACCAATTTCAACCGGGCGAATTCATATTTCATCCGGGATGACACGACCGCCATCTGGAAGGCGAGGGTATAGGGATTTTCGGGAAAATATTTACAATGTAAATAGCTCGACAGGTTGCTGGTATCGGTTCGACAGGAAATCCTTTATACCGCGCGAGGAGGGGTGGGAGAGGGGGGTCGGCAACCCTTGGCTCGATCTGAAAGTCAGTTTCGCCCGAGGGGACAAGCTTTTTTGCATATCGTGTGTGGAACACAGTTTCAGTGTTCGCCACGCGTGAGAACGCCCGAAAAGACGGAAAATCTCTCGTCGTTTCGAGCGATAGGGCTGATTTATTCGTAGGCTGTACTACTTGCTAATTTTTATTTCCCGTATTTCAGCGATACAAACCCAGCACTGCTATTTTTCTTACTTGTGTCTCGGGTAGACCGAAGTGTGTTTCTTTTAGCTATCCACTTGCCTGACCTACTGTGCTTTTATTTGTTTCAGGGACATACTTTATCCTGTACGACTTCATCGACTTCTTCGAGAAGGATCAGGCGAGCTTCCTGGAACGCGACAAGTTTCTCGGTATCATCAACACCATCTTCAAGAACATGTCTCAGATCGAACGGGAGGCGATCACCTTCCAAGTAAGCCTTCTTCCGAATATTTTCCAGAATAGTGATGGGTTTCTTATCTGTCTCGAACCTTCCCTTAACGTTACAGCGTTCTATCAACACATAAACGTAGAAAATTTCGATAGTAAGGTAATCAAAGATACATCTAAAACGTATTAGGATCCTCGGAACGGGTCTACATCTATCTAAAAGTTTTCAAAATTATCTACACAGTTGTAAAACTATCTAAAAGTTCTCCCAAGGTCATTTAAACGGTTCTTCAGATATCTCGAAGGTCTCTGGATAACCTAAACGGATCTAAAACTATTTAAAAGCGCCCAGGATAATGTTTTGCAACTATCTGAAAACGCCCAAGGTAATTTAAAATGTCCTAAGCTTATTTAAAGGGTTCCAAGGTGATTCAAACTGTTTTACAACTACCTAAGAGTTCTCAAGGTTACGTAAAATGTTCTAAGATTGTCTGAAATATCTCAAGATCGTTTAAACTTTCTAAGATGAATATAATAGCTTTGAACATCGTTTAAACGCTCCAAAGATCATCCAAAAGTTCCAGCGACCATCCAATGACTCAGAATATCATTTAAAAGCTCCAGAGATCATCCAGAAGCTCAAAGGATCATCTAAAATGCCTCAAAATCATCTAAAAGCTCCTAAGATCACCCAAAAGCTCCAAGGATCATCTAAAAGCCCCAAAGATCATCGACAACGATAAAAGATCATTCCAGGACTTCGTGGAATCGTCGAAAGTCACCGAGCTTCGCATCTCACCGGGTAAATTCGCCCGGTACGGCGCCTGTAAAGTGCTACAGTTTGTCACTTCGCCCTTAGAAACGAGCGGAGATAGTCGATATTCCGCTCACGTTGCCCCGAGACACATCCACCGGTGCCGGATGAGTAGTATAAGACGCACGCTGCAGTAGTAATGGACCGCGCAAGTCAGGCTGCTCTCGATCCGTACTTTGTAGCGTTCCTCGCGAGGCAGCAGCAGCAGTAGCAGTGGTAATGGAAGTCAAGAGTCAGCCACGATAGCTTAAGTATTCCGTTCGCGTTTATTACATCGGGATTTTACTAATATCGTACCACTTCCTGTCGTGACTTGAAATATAAAAAGTTCGGTCGATATTTCCACGCATCTAACAACGATACACCCTAATTATCAACCCTTTGCTTGCCAACCCTTTTAATCGAATATGTCAATTTATTATTCAGAACCTCCTTTGAATAATAATTCTAGTGGCACTGATTCATATACTATTCCAATCTTCTTCTGAAATAATTCTCGAGATTTAGGGCTGTTGTGCACCCCTCCAGAAAGATCGAAGGAGTGAAGAACACCGTAAGCCTATTCTTAACATCTCGAAAAACGAGGTATACAGCTCTAAACGTGATCTTCACCGACGAATGCTTCACTCCAAATGGGAATCCACCCTCTCTTGACTGGATTTTCCGCTCGCGCGAGAATAAACCTACTTACCCCTTTCCAGTGTCGCGAGATCGAGGGTGTGTATCGCTGAGGGGATGAAGAAGATTGCCAAGATTCGGAGAGTAAATATCCCGGGACGTTTCGGGGTGGATCGAAAATAGGGACGGGTGCAATTTCGCTCGAAATTTCGGATAAAAGTCACCCACTCCCGTTTTGCAACCCTTCTTCGTCCTGTTAATATTAGGGGGAGAATTGCGTCCTGTGAGGTCTTGGCACACGTCAAACTCTTTGGAAACGTCGTGCAGCACGATGTACAGGTCGCACACACACATTACCCACCCCCGTTGTAGCTTCAAAGTAGTCCTCTTCGTTTCCATGAAACGACATTTCCATGAAATTTCCTATGAAACACTTTCCGCCCCGTCCACGGTGAAATTGAACGGTTTTTCGGGTTGAAAGGCTCCCCGGGGAAGGAATCGTTTCCACCGTGAAAAGATGCCTTTCCCGGGAAAAACATTGCGGGCTACTGCTCGAATATTAATTCACTACCCCTTTCAAAGGACGATCATCCCTCGAGAAACCTCCCTCATCACTGTCTTTCGTTTCTTTGGTAAAGCAACTTCCCAGAGTTGTGGTATGGCTAATCGAATTTTTAATCGGGCATTGTCACTGATTTACCATCCCCAGTGGTTGCAACGGTGGGGGGGGGGAGGGGGTGAACCACCACCTGGGAAATTTAGAAACGTTAACGCTGGACCCTGGTACCGGTCCATCGGGTACAATAAATATTGCTCGGGCCCGTTTATTCGGTGTTTCAATTACGAGCCCCGTACACCAGTGGAATAATTCACTGGCCTGAGATTTCGGTGGTCCATCATCCCCCGTAGGAGGAAATGGATTAAAAATTTCATTTCTCGTCTTCCAATCGAATTTTGTCGATCGAAGGGGAGAAATTTAACTCTGTGCCGGTCGATTCTCAGCGGAGGGATGTCCAGGGTCGTGAATCGAGGGTCGAGGGTTGAAAGTCGAGGGTTTAAGGGTCGATCGGAAATTCCACCCCCGTTATCCACCCCCTCTGAAACAAACAGTGGTCGTAACCACGCAAGTGGTTCAGAACGAGGGGACGGTCGTTGATAATCAATATCTCTGTGTACACGGTTAATGCCGCCTCAAAGACACCCCCTCTCCGGACTGGGGGGTGGGTGGTCGCTAATTATTTTCCTGTCGGTGATACCACACGCCAAAGTCGCTTCGTCAGAGATCAGTCCGTGTATAACCCTTCATAGAGGCGTCCATTTAATGAACACGGGTTGGAAAGAGTTTGTAGGGGGCTGTGTTGCTAAAATTGGAAAATCCACCCTCGAGAGAAGCATGTATGCCTTCCGCACCAGTTTTTGTTCAAATAGAAAAGCTTTCTACTCTTTGAGCGTATAACTCTGGTGGCAGTGGGCTAGTGGAAATTATATACAAATTTCACTTGTCCGCCCAGTGGTCCACTGTTTCTACTTAAATTAATTTTCGTTAATATTCATTTTCATGAAAATTAATTTAAACCGTCAGCTATAATACAACGAGATGCTATTAGATTAGATGTAGTCGGGTGGAATGAGCTAGCAATGCTCAGACACGATATTTCTTTTAATTCATCAAATAGAATGAGTCGGCGATAGTCAGACACCACATAAAGTATATTCACGATTATCTGTAGTTGAAATATCCTGAAGTGTGCTTTTTTCTCCAAAATCATATCCCACACAAAGAATTATTTTTCTACTATTTTCTACTACTTCGAATTTGTCTCATTCAATATTACGACCCCCTTTAAGATAGCCTCATCATTCCAGCACCACCCTATGCAATTAAAGGGGCGAGGTTAGTGCAGAGTCATGAACTTAAACGATCGCTCACGCGTAGAAATACCGTGTGTGTTCTCCCCTCCGTTAATAGCAACCCCTAGGCTAGCTTTCGGAATTTCGTCCCGTCAAGGGGGTTGGTCGGGGAAAAATATTTCAACGGAAAAACGGGTCAAACTATTCGTGATATGTTCGAACACTCGACGATTTTAATGGTCCCGTGGCTCTTAACATTTTAATAACGAAAATGTTTCATCCCCTTTCCAGGGTTCAAAATCCCCCCCCCCCCACCCGGTTCGTATCAAAGCTCCTTTATGATTCCATTTTTTCCGATCATACATACATATTCGAATACCTGTCTTCCATAAATATTGAATCCTTGGGAACCACATTTCCCAATGTCGCGGAGCAAAATCGTATGCAACCACCGCGTGTACATATGGATGCACCCTTGTTCGTGGCGAGGACGATCCTTATGCGCGACCCGTTCGCGAGAATCTCGCACATCGATCATGAATATTCAGCGATGCGTTATTCTTAAAAATCGAAAACCAGCCCTTTGTGTGCAGAAGCGCGTGCAATTAATGGAATAGCGTAGGAAGAAAGGTTTAGAAAAGTCGAGGACACATCGAGGACCCAGGGGGTGAGATAAAAATTTCACAGGCATATTCCTCCGGTGCACCTGCACCGGGCTGTCTGACCATTTACTGGCTATTTCTACTCGTATGCAAGTTTATTAATAGTGGCAACGAGCATGACATTTATTTCGGAAATAATTCAGTAGACAAGTAAGGTCGATACAAGACGACACCTTAATGGCCACTTTTGTCGCAAGTAGAAATATCAAGCGATGGTCAGGCACGTTAAGCAGACCTGGCCTACAAACGTTTCGATTGAATTCTCGTGGCAACAACGCTACATCGTGGGTGAAACATTGGCACATTTCCGTGTATCGACTAGGACAAAGGGTTGGAATTATTAAATCGCAGGAATATTTTCGGGGCCGGTGTTCGTCGCAGCGAATAATAATTGTGAAGGGTGGTTCGACACGCCCTATATCCGTGACTTCTCCTCCAAGGAATATCGAGAAGACACGCGCTCAGAAAATATTCTGGAAACGTCACCGAGCAAGCTTTCCGCTCCCGAGCATCCGGAATAAAATGCTGCGACGATCTTCTCACCCCCTACCCTCTACTACCCCCATCGTGCTCTCGTTTCTTCGTCATATTCCTGGGGAGAACTCACTCGAGATCTGGTAAAAAATTAAACGTTGACGTTACGGACGAACTGTACACACGTTTTGCTAAAAGAAATCTGTACGGAACTAAAAACCACAACTTGTTTGGGAATCATGCCACGACTTTAAGGGTTGCGACAGGGTGTTTTTTCGTTATCTTACAGACCTCTTTATCTTCGTTATTTTTGACGCTACGGAAAACTGTCAAAGGGAAAAATTGTTTGATTCAGTTGATAGGACACTTTCAGTCTAAAACTTCACTTCCTAGCTCAAATTTCTTTGAGCTTTCGTGACCGTCGTTATTTTTCCAAAGGGGATGATACATTTCCGTTGCCATATTCTTGTCGCTGACAGAAGAACGCGTTCAACCATATACGATATATCGACATTCGTCCAGCAGTAACTCATATTCTCTCTGCGCTCAAAATTATAATTTTAAAATCGTAACTCTTCAGAAAATCGTCCAAAAACCCACATGTGACACATGTTTCAACTTGTT